CAGGCGTCACTCCAGTAAAGTGGTGTGCTTTCAAGATAAGCCATTTTGCAAATCTGAGAGGAAAAAAAAAACATTTTAAAAAGCAAGAACTTTTAACGATTATCTTAAACCAGAATCCCAAAGCTACATTAGCCAAATAACATATGCTACAGAATAAAAATACTAAGCAATGAACCCTTCTCTCAGGTCACAAGCATTTTGCCCAACTCTTTGGTTAAACATCTTTATCCCTAACATGACAGAGGAAGTGCTTGTTCTAGAAATAGGACAATGGAGTAGATAATAAGTCTTTTAATCTTTGCTTTAGAAAATAAATCATATTGAAAAACATTTCCATTTGTTTTCTTCTCTAAGGCAGCAAGAAGCAAACTGACGTGTTCCAAAATGTATGGGTCATCATTTCTTATTATTGTGTTAGCTGACACTTATGGAATAGGTAGTGCAAAATACCTACAGAACCTGTGTCTACCTTTGTTTTATACTTTGGATGCAGTCAGCAATCTGCAGATCATATATGACCCAACCAGCATTTAATTTGCAGACCTCTAGCATGCTAAGAATATGAAATTTGAAAACAAAATGCTTAATTTTCAAGTCTGCTATAAACTATGCTAAATTATGTTATATAACAATGTAACATGTTATTATATAATGCTATTTTATTATATAATACTACTGAATATTTTTCCGCAAAAATGATTCTGCAAAGTTAAAGTGAGCTGTTCAAAACATGATGTAACCCTCATTGCTTAGATTTTACATGTGTCCATGTAATGTCCTTTGTATTAACAAAAGCAGGAGTTTGAGAATGCATGCTTAGAACTTTTGAGTGTATAAAAAAAAATGTATGGCCACTCAGGAAAGCTTTGATTTTACTTTATTATATATTTCCTTTGATTCAGGACTTCAGAGTTGTGTATAAAATATTTCCCCCTCCTGTTGAATATAACAGGGAGGGAAACCTTGGGCAAAGGTTTCCCTCTGGTTCGCCTGTGAGGCGGAAAAGACTGGTGGTTCAAATTGACTGGTTCACACTACAGGCGGGAATTTCAAGAGATCTCAGTGGCTGAGCTGTCGGACAGCTCCCTTTAAAAGAGGAAGCTGCTGGACAGCACAGAAACTTCTAAGTACCGGTCTACTAAATAAAGAGTTGTTGTATTAGCTGAGTGTCCTGCCTTTTCACTTGACCCATACTTAATATACCCCCCCCCATTTTTTTTTATTTTGCTACAACATTACTGAGTGGTTGAGCTAAGACACTGGCCCAAAATCACGTAGTATACTTCTGTGGCTAAGGCTACACTAAAACCTAAGTTTCCCTGCTTCTAGCCCAAACTTTAGCCACAATCTGATTCTGGGTTAATGCAAACAATCCTCTGCAACCTTCTTTTAAAACACAGGTTAATTTGCTTCTACCTTGTTTCCTTCCTGACAGCAGCAGAAGAAATAACATTAAGAGCAAAATTGCTGCAAAGCCCCCTTCTGCAACCTTCCAGGTATTTTGAGAGTTAAGGGGATGACAGCCAAGTTAAACAGTTTGAGACCTGAAGGCCAGAGGTAAACAGCTACCAATCTTAGAATTTATGTTTGAAAACTGATGCATAACCCAAGTGGTATAATAATAAAATGCCAAATTAAGCCCCAGAAGCATTATGCAAAACTCCAGCTCAAGAGGTAAATGTACATTTATAATGAACTAAATGTCATATGGTTTTATGAGATCAGGGGAGGTAGAACTGGTTGGTGAAAGCATTTGCCTTCCAGCCTATCTTGATTTTCTGGCACAATTCCATGCAGTTTTCTTAAATTGAATATTTTTCTGATGTGGTTTGCTATGGACTTCTTCCTAAGGCTGAAGGAGAATAACTGACCTAATCAATCGGTTGGCTTTGTGCCTAAGGTAGGACTAGAACTCCCAGTTGCCACGTTTTTAGGCTGATATTAAATCAATGGGCACACTAAACTGACTCTCAATAGCCACAGATACTATGATATTAATATATCCTAAAATGTTTATTAGGTTATTCAGTAAGACTCACTAATCATTTAAATATAAAACAGCTTCTCTGTGGATGATTATGCAGTTTAATGTTTCTAGATCAATTAAGTAATATAAAAGCTAGAACAAAACTCAATTGTATTTCTTAGAAAAGTAATTATCTACACTATTCCAATTATATTTTAGTATATGCTTTGGTACATATCCAAAGGAATTCTTGCAAGTATATAATCTGAATATTTTTTTAAAAAAACAAATACTTTAAAATAAAATATTTTTTCTCCAAGCAAGTTTGTATACCTAACAACTGAGATTAACACTGAGATTAAAAATACATAGGAAGTCCTAGTAATAATAATAATAATAATAACAACAACAGCAACAACAATAAATCTATAGAAAACATTTCTAACATATGCTTCATTTAAATGGGAATAATTGATTCATGAACATAATTTTATTCAGATATTAAGTATTACCCATAGTGGCTGCTTTACTTACATAGGCTATATAAATGCCTTTTCTTTTCTTGTGTGAATTTATTTGGAAAAGAAGATAAGAAGAGCTGCTCTAAAACTTATTTTATTTCAAACTTTTCTTTATCACATTCTCTGACACAAAAAACTTCTCAATAGTGGCATAGATACTAATGGCTAATATAACATAGAAAATATCAAGTAGCACGGGGGCACGCACACCCATGCACATGAGAAATCCAAAGAGAAATTTGAGAGATACATACAAGCCTATTTCAAATTTAAATCTCAAATTTAGATTTCATTTTTTAAGCAAGTGCAGATTGATGTGCTTTAAAATCTTTAGACTTCCTACTAATTGAAGGACCAATCTAAAAGTCTTGTTCTTTGATATCTATCCAAGGACACTCCTACATCTCTTCTTCTCTATTCCTTCAGGCCACTACACAAAATTTGATCACATTTCTTTATATTTCTCTGGTTGCTGGCAAAGTGTCCAGGTAACACTGAAAGGGTTTCAGAAGTGGGTGGTATGAATTGCCCTTCATAAAATATTCTTCTTTAACTAACATTTTTCATGGAATCTGTTAACATTTAATTATCTATCCACATCATAATTACTCAAATCTCCCGATTCCTGTCACTGCAGTTCCCTTTTCTTCATGCTACATGGATCAGGAAAGCAAAGAGCTGCAAAACTAATTATTCTGGGTTTTCTAATAATTAATCACACTTATATACCTTTCCACAAGCAATTCAGTGTGGTGTTCAGGATTCTTTCTCCTCCAACAACTGCATTATCCTCTCAAGAACTATCTTGAGCTAAACCCCTGCAGGCATTATCAATCTACAGCTCTTCTGGGATGTAATCCCCATTCCCACTGACATCATTTGACTGCCTCTACGCATACTACACAAAAGCCAAGCCCTGCCTTGTGTGGAAGCCAAATTGCTCTCCAGCAAATAAAAGAATTTGCAAGTCATGATCAATTATGGGGGTAGAAGAGGTTTTGGATAAGCAAGTTCTGAGCACTCCAGCTTCATGGGCAGGGGTGAAATGCTACCGGTTTGGGCCGGTTCACCCGAATCGGTAGTAAAAAAAATGCTTTAAAAAAGTTTTTTAAAAGATTCCCATGATTGCACGGAATAGCTGATTGTCACAGCTGATCGTGTGTGAGATTGTGTGAGTAAGTGTAGCTTTTGTGTTATTTTTGTGTAAAGTGTGATAGTTTGTTTTTGAGCTCTGTGACTTTGTGAGGTTCCTGCTTGTTGCACTAAGCCACGCCTGCCTGGTCACATGACCATCAGGCCATGGCCACAGAACCGGTAGGGAAAATTTTTGAATTTCGCCACTGTTGACGGGATTTGAACAAAGCATTCACCACTGTTCCAAAACTACACAGAAAGACTCAAGGTTGCACTGAGAGCCAGTTTGGTGTAGTGGTTAAGGTGCCAGGCTAGGAACCAAGAGAATGAGTTCTAATGCAGCCTTGAGGGTGAAAACCAGTTGGGTGATTTTGGACCAATCATTTTCTCTCAGCCCAACCCACCTCACAAGGTTGTTGTTCTGTGGAAAATTGAAGGACAAAGGAGTATTAGGTATGTTTGCTGCCTTGAGCTATTTATAAAAAAGAATAAAGGGGAGACAAAAATCAAACAAACAGTAGATAACAGTCTTCCAGTCCTAGTTCAACCCTTTAATAATAAGTACACTATGATTGCTGCACATGCAAAATGCTGGCCAGTTTGAGAATTAAGCTTAAAAAACAATGCCTTTCTTCAGAGGGATGCATTGAGAAGAAGATGCAATTTCACAATGAGCTGTGATGAAATTTAATCAAATAATTTAAATTAAAAAAGTAAGCCTATTTTGTAATGGAGGGAGGGAGGGAGGGAGAGGGGGAAGACAGGTGGGGAGGGAGGTAGGATAATCAAAGAAATTCAAAAGCCGAATTGTAGCGCCACTGCATTCCAAGATTGCATTGCCAAGGCTAAGTTGCACAATGGTCAAATTTTGGAAGCATAAGTTCTAGCTGTAGAAGTAAAAAATTCCTGGGAAGTAAAGCACTTCTATTTTTGCCTAACACCTAATTCTAAATTATGCTGCTGACGCCTAATTTGGATCATTTTGGTGAGAGGATTAGAGTGCTTTTGAAAGAAGGGAAATGGGAAACTGATTCCAACTGAGAGGTTACATTTGCCATTCCTACATTTAACCTCCAAAACATTAACTAACCTGGCCCAAACATTCACCCATGTCTCTTTCTGATCCACATCCAGTCCCCCAGCTGTGAGAGGAAAAAATGAATTAAGAATAGTTTAAAATAATTCAATTACTTGCTCATTGTAGACACTGGAACATTAAAATAGTTCATAAATATTACAATTGTGCTTTGCTATTCATCAAATGGATTATTATCCTGCCTTCTCAATACAAATGTTTTCCATGCTGTGTTACCAGTTTTGTGGAGAAAAACATACCAACAAAAAACCATAAGACAAAGGATTTTTAAAAAAAATTTTTTTACTGTATAATCAAAATGTAATGATATCATATGACATTGCTTAAGAACCAGAAGGAAATTAACTAACATTTTAGATCCAAATTCATTGATGGAAGAATAATCGATAAAAGGGCCTTTCAGTTCCTGCAGATACTGATATGTTCCTGTAGCTGCTGAATGTTGTTCCTGATAGTTGATGAATCTCTAGCACAGACTTTTGGTGAGTTTATGGTATAAGGGGAAAAGACCTTACATCCATAAAAAAATGGTATCAACCAAATATGTTTTCAACCCTTCCTTATGTTGAAAGAGAATAAACAGGTTTACCCTGAATTAATTTCACTACAAAACCCTTAATCACTCATTAAATTTTCCTGCTGTTCTAATGAGCAACAAGAACTTTTCCCATAGCATTTTAGAAATACAGAATCATAATTCAACAAATACATGGTTTTTTATGTGTCAACACATTTCATTAAAAACATCTTTACTTGTACATCTTTACTTATTACAAATAATGTCGACTTCATTTTTTTCATTTTGCCTGATCAACTATAAGTATCTTAATTTTTAATTATTTGCAAATACTGCAAAATACCAATTTATTTTGGTATTTTTATTTATCCAAGAACACCAAGCTATTTAGACAATAATTTACATTGTTTTCAGTAATTTCTAGTCCATGGGAGCTCTAATACAAAGTATTTGAGGCATAAATACTGGGAAGGCAGAAGGGTTAATACTGCATATTGAATACACATATGGGGAAAAAACCACTTCAAATCATTATATCAATGAAAAAAATACCTATCAAAGCAATTTAAGCTCGATACATGACCCCGTTAATCAATAATATATTTTTAAAAACCTAATTCCAGTAAATAAAACACTTTGAATTACTTAGTATAAAGAACAACCCAATAAGTTGTTGCTATATATGAGGCATATTTAAGAACAGAACTTATTTTAAATTTATTTAATGGTATACAAAAATATTGTAGGAAGATTTTCAGAATTAAACATCGCCATTCCTTCTTAGTCGAGGCTGTCAAGTGGAATCTGAAAATGGTTCCTTAAATGCGTGGGTTGACTTTCCTTGTCAAATCCCATCAGTTCATGTGTTTTAATATTTTCCCTCAGCGATATTAAACAAAACAAATAAGGGAAGTATAGCAAATACCATATTGTGTACAAATGGCTGCCAGGCTGGTTTCAAGAGCTATATTCTGAAACACAGATTTAAAAGCAGATTATAAAAGATACCAGGCTATAGTGAAAGCTGCCACGATTCCATTCAATATAGCCATACTATAACCCATGTGAAAAGAGTGTCCCGTCAGTCGCCTGAAAACAAAAGAAAATCAATTAATTAACAGATTAGAGAGGACAGATATTTCAAGCCACAAAACATTTTACATAGATAAACTGGCTTCATTTTAATGCTTACTATATGCTAATATGTATTTGCCTCTGAACATAGTAATACCACCTAGTGAGCTGCCCTTTTCATTGTCCACAAATTTTAATTCCTTCTGAGTATTTTAAATTTGTATATAAACTTTTGCATTTAGTCACTACCTAAGATTTGCACCAATGGATATATCATGCACATCCCACCAGCCAGCTTTACAAACCATTATGGCAAGTATTGCAGATAATGTTCTTACATAGTCTTAAAAATGTTTGTGTAAAACTTCTTGGGTAAAACATGCTGCCATTTCCCAATCAAACAGGATTTGGATGATAAGGAAATGTGGAGGAATGAGCTCACAATAAGTTTTAAGACTACCCAAATTATATAACTAATTTTTAGGCATACGTTTGTGTCCGCATAGACCGGCAACTAGCCTAAAGATGTTTTCTTCATTATTTTAAATTATCACTACACAATATAGTCAGTGTATGAAAACACTAATAAATGTTACTTAACCTGACACTTTTAGACTTACTGTATATATTTGTGTATTCGAATGTACCAACACATACAATGAAAGCCACATACTGTATAAAAATATGCTATACTTGGCAGAAGTACACTGTTTGCAACTGACTTCTTTTGGAAAATGCAAAATAGCATGAAAGCCCACCTGGACTTTGCAAAAAAAGCACCTGAAGGACTCTCACACTGTGAGGAACAAGATTCTTCATCTGGTGTGATGAAACCAAGATTGAACTGTTTGGCCCCAAATTCTAAACATTATGTCTGGATGAAACCAGGCAATGCTCATTACCTGCCCAATATCATTCCAACAATGAAGCAGGGTGGTGGTAGCATGATGCTGTAGGGGTGCTTTTCAGCAGCAGGGATAGGAAGAGTGGTCAGGATTGAGGGAAAATTGAATAGAGCAAAGTATAGGGATAGCCTCAATGTAAACCTGCTCTACAGAGCTCAGGAGCTCAGATTTGCCCAAAGGTTCACTTTCCAACTTGACAATGATCCTAAGCACATAGCCAAGACAATTGGACAGGAATGGCTTAGGGACAACTCTGTGAATGTCCTAGCCAGAGCCGTGACTTGAACAGTATTGAGCATCTCTAGAGGGACCTGAAAATGGCTGTCCACTGATGGTCACCATCCAACCTGACTGAGCTTGAGATTTGCAAGGAAGAATGGCAGAAAACCCCCCAATCCAGATGTGCCTAGCTTGTCACGTCATACCCCAAAAGACTTGAAGCTGTAATTGCTGTCAAAGGTGCTTCAACAAAGTATTGAATGAAGGGTTTGAATATTGTGATACTTCAGGTTTTTTCTTTTTAATAAATTTACAGACATTTCTAAAATTCAGTTTTCCCTCTGTCATTATGGGGTACTGAGTATAGATTAATGAGAAAAAATGAATTTCAACAACTGCAGAACCAGGCTACAGCGTAACAAAATTGACAAAAGTGAAGGGGGTCTGGATACTTTCTGAATGCACTGTATATATATTTTTTTAATTCTTAAATTAAAGAGCCTACAACGTGGCACTCCACAGTGGCCTCCCATTTCGGTTATAACCAAGCCTGACTGTGTAACATCCAAGATCAATAAAGTCTCTAGCTGTAAGATATGTATCATATTCTGATAGAAAGAATAACAATGAATTCAAACTCAAATGATTGAATTCTGATTGGCCTATCAAGATCTATTATACATGGATTTTACATCTTTTTTACAATATATTTACATTTTCTAGAAGTCTCAAGAAAAAAAATGAATTTTATACTTTGGGTTGTAAAAATTATGTTACAATACACTCTGCTGGCCAACTCCTGAAACTGCTTAATTTGTTGCTTTAATATACCAATGTGAACATTGCTCCTAATGCAACAAAAGGCAATTTCTATTAGATAGAAGCAAATTATTGAACCTACTTAAAAAGTAAATTTGTGGTCCATTCATTCTTGATCCTTATTTTCTTGCTTTACTTTAAGTATTTTGTGATTTACCAAGTTCTCTTAATAGTCATGTTCACTTCTTTTGACAAATACAATTCCTCACAATACGTTATATATTACATGCATATTTTTCTGCCCTCATTTCCACTTCTTAAATTTTTTCTATCTAGTTTCCCTTCTTTAAGGTACACAAATTAATCAGGTTACTCTGTTGTTTTTTGCAATTTATGTATAAATTACAGCCATTTTTAAATTAAACATACCGTATTTTTCGGAGTATAAGATGCACTTCATCCCTCTAAAAGTGGGTGAAAATTGCAGTGTCTTATAGACCAAATATGGGCCTGTTTTTGGCCTCCCGAACCCTCTGCGCATCATGTTTTTGCCTCCCAGAAACATTATAAAGTGCTCCATATGTCTCGTTTTCGCCAAAAACAAGCCTGTTTGGCTCCTGAACTCTCTGCGTGTTGCATTTTCACCCTTCCCAGCCCCCAGAAGCATTCTGCAGGCCAAAAATGGGCCTGTAGAGAACAGGCCCATTTTGGGCAAAAACGGGATGTGTGGAGCACTGCAGAGTGCTTCTGGGGACCAGGGTGGGCGAAAACGAGATGCACGGAGGCCAAAAACTATCTTTTTTCTTGTTTTCCTCCTTTAAATCTAAGTGCCTCTTATAGTCCCGTGCATCTTATTGTATGGTAATTGTGCGACCTTTAATAAATTTATTTTTAGATTCATTTTTTTTAAAAAAAATACTTAAATTTCAAATAAAAAAATATAAAATATAAAAATTATAATAAAAATTAAAAAAAAGATTCAAAAAGGAGACATTTAAAAGTGACAAAAGAAATAAAAATAAAAAAGACTTACAACTTTCCTCAGTACAGATACAAATATATAACCGATAAACCATTTCTTATCCTAAGTTAACCATAATATAACCAACATCTAACCCTAATACTTAAACAATGAAACAAATCATGCTTTGTTATTTATAGTCATTCCTTTATCCTTGGTGTGTATTAATAAAGTTACTATTAAACCACATGACATCGGAGATTCTCATTGATCCTATCACGATTCTCATGCATTCTTGGCCCAACTAAATCTTTCTATACCCTCTCATCCTATTTTTATCAATCCGTTTATGAAATTGAATCATTTAATCTTGCTTTTTATTTTTCCCTTCAATTGTTAATTCATGCTTGTTACTTTTTTTCCTCTTACATTGCAAGCCACAATCTTCCATATTTATAGTCATCACTAGATGAGCCATTAGATAATGTTCTCCATTCTCTATTATGACTTCTGCCAATCAAAATTTTTACATAAAGTCCTTTCATAACAAGAGTATAAACGAACCAAGAAAATTCCTCAGTATTACAGGAGATCATGTGAAATATTGCATCAATTTCTTATGGCAGATTTCTAAGCCCAATATCCATTCACATTTGATTCTTTCTAAATTGATACTCACTTAAATCGTGCAGGTGAGAGTGGAGTAGGAGGAAACATTCCTGGTTCAAATGAATCAAAATAGATAACAGTCCAGGAAAAACTGCAACATGACAGCCCAGTCAACATGGCTAGAACAAGAAGACTCCAAAATCCTTATGGAAGAAAAACTCAATTGTAAATAATGAAGGCTAGAACATTTTGGATGTAAATACATACATTGATTCAGTGGGTTTTAAAGATTAATATGCAATTGAAACAAGGAAGTTATTTTCTTGGGATAGATGGACAAACATCTAGAAAAAAAGTGGCTCCTTTCATCCCTCTGCGGTGGCTCCCTGTTGCTGGTCGGCTCCACAATTGATAGGGCTTTCTGTTAGGACAGGTAGAGGAAAAAGGATGCTACACTAGGAGGAGACTCTATGGTGGGGAACCAACTTCTGGTCAGCAGAGGAAAAAGGGCACTGCGCTAGGAGGACAATATGATGGGGGAACCAGATTTCCGGTCGGCTGCAGAATTGAACAGGGGGCTTCCGGTTAGGACCTTGTGGCTCTTTGAGTGTTTAAGGTTGTCAACCCCTGCCTTAGCGAATGTTCAAAGTTACATGATAAGCGTCCTCTAGCGTTTATGATCAAGTTCTGAAAGTACAAAACTTGCAGCACCACAGCAGTTGTTCACCCTTACGAACAACTGTTGAGGCTCTGCAACATTTGTCCAGCACTTTGCCAGCCAAAACGAAGGTTCGGAGGGGAGCGCCTCTCCGAAGCTCTGTTTGGGGCTCTGGAGGCCTTGCTAGGCACATTGCAGGCCAAAATGGAGCATCGGAGCCCTCCAATGCTACATTTCAGCTTGCAAAGTGCCAGGCGAGGCCTGTGTAAGCCTAAACGAAACTGCAGAGGGGCGCACGTGGTTGAGAGACTGAAGAAGAGACTGCTTGCTGGATCTTCACACGGTAAATGACCCAGCACAGCAGGTTAGGTGAGAGGGAAGCAATTGTGGGGAGCATGAGGTATTTCAGTGGGTCAGGGAGGCCTTGGTTGGTCTTAGGCAGGTGGCCTGTTCCATCACTAGCCCCTCCCCACCATGGCCTTCCCCACCCTGAAATACCTCTTGTGTACTTAACAAGCCTCACATTCCAATATCAAATGCATTGGCGAGAGGGAGTGATTCCGTTCAAGGTACGAGATTCATTCCTATGAATCCTTGGGTTACAAATGAGATGGGGAGGCTCCATTCCATTTGTAACTTGAGGGCTACCTGTACTTTTTTTCTCCCTTTTCTTCATATTAGTTCTTGTTAGCTTTTAAGTCCTTTCTGAATTTTTTAAAATAAAAATTATGTAAATAATGAGATCTCAACATTACAACTTCAGCATTAATATACAGTATACAAAATGCTGAATTCAAAATGCCCCATTTTAAGTTAGAAAAAGCTGGTTGAGTACGTCTACAAGTGTTCCAAGGTCACAATTTTCCTGTTTCAAAAAGAGGTCATCTTGACCATGAACACAATTCTGATGCAATAAGGTAGACATTTCAAATGTGCATATCCCTAACAAAAATGTCCCAATTCTACCACCAAGAAATGTTAATAACTATCTGGAATAAATCAAAATGTTAATAGACTTACCTTATTTTTTGGTCTATAAGACGCACTCCCCCCCCCCCCCGCAAGTGGGCGGAAATGTCTGTGCATCTTATAGAGCAAATGTTGCCAAAGCCCCGCCCACCCACCGTCCGTCTTCCACCTCTGCCTCCCAGCAATTTGCCTCCTTGCAGCAAACAGCCTGGTCAGCTTGAGCACACCCTGATTTAGCATGAGCAGCTGATTGGCAGTTGGATCAGCCTCCCGGAATACCACAAATCAACTGTTCCAGGATGCGGGAATCACCACTGCCACCTATCACCACCGCCTATTGCTGCCTCCGCACATCCCATTTTCAGCCACCACACACCCCATTTTCAACCTCTGTGTGTCCTGTTTTTGGCCTCTGTATGCCCCATTTTCAGCCTCTGCACATCCCATTTTCGTCCAGTTCCAAGCAGTAGCAATAGGCGGTGGCGATCCCTACCACCTGGAATGGGCCGAAAACAGGATGTGTGGAGGCCGAAAATGGGGCACACAGAAGCGGCAATCCCCGCAGCCTGGAACAGTTGATCAGCGGCATTCCAGGAGCCCGATCCAATTACTAAACAGCTGCTCGTGCTAAGTTAGGCTGTGTGAAATTGACCAGGCTGTTTGCTGTTTGCTGCAAGGAGGCAAATTGCTGGGAGGCAGAAGCAGATTTTTTTCTTGCTTTCCTCCCCAAAAGCTAGGTGTGTCTTATAGTGCAAAAAATACAGTACATCATGTCCAAGGAAAAAACACAATATAACTCTAAATATATTAAGTTAGTCCCTTAATTATACTGTACCTATTTAACTATTTTTAGAACTGCAGTCATGATTACTGTGTTTGTGCTTTTCTTTTTCATCTTATTGATTTGTAGAAAGTGATCATCAATTTAAATAGAGAAATAGAGTGGGTAGAATAAAGATGATCCACAAAACTCTGAAACTCTTATGACTACCAGCATACTTTGTGGATATTACACAATTTGAAATTTAAATGTTTTTGTATGATGAACCCCATCTATTCTACTCTCATAAAAATATTACTAGGTAGAGAACAATAATATATGCTTTATTTTTAATAATAATTCTTATTAAAGATTAGAAATAAAAAAGTAACTACAGAAATTCAAATTTGTAGGTAAGAAAGCAGATTCAGTTATAGGTATTTTAATGATATATCAGCATACATTAATTCATGAACGAATTGCAAAATGTTCCATTTTTGTCAAAAGGAATACCCATAAGGAAATTCTCACAATTCCAAAATGAAGTTACAAAATAAGCCTCACCTAAAATGCTGGTTTCCATACTATCCATTTTCTCTTTTTCGTGTCCTGGATCTATAAATAAAAATAGTTTATTTTTACTTTAAATTTTAAATTTTTTAAAGTATTTTAACATTTACAAGAAATTTTAAATCAAGTCAATTATTATGGAATGGGAGACAAGAGATCAACAAGTTTTCCTACTAAATGAGCTTTCAATTTATTATTCAGTGAAAAGCACTGAGTTATATTTTGAAAAAAGCTGGAATTAATTTTGTCTGCTATTGTGTGTCACTTCAGCTAGAGGAGTCTGATGATCAGGTTGGCCCACCCATCTGCTTCTGCGCTTTACTTACCTATATCCTCTCAGCTGATTCACGCAGCTAGGGTTAGGGTTAGGTCTACTTGGTGTCATGGCCCAAAACTAACGCTTGGAACAGATTCCTCGATGTTTTTGAAGGAAAGGAAAGTTGGCAGCTTTTCTTTCTGACTTTTCTGTGGACCACAGTAAAATACATGGGAAAATCCTATTGGAATTAATACAAGTTTAGGGTTAGGGCTAAGATTAGGTGTACTTGGTGTCATAGCCCAAAACTAATGTTTCAGATATATTCCTTGAGGTTTTTGAAGGAAAGGAAAGTTGGCGGCTTTTCGTTCTGAGTTTTTTGTGGACTACAGTAAAATACATGGGAAAATCCCATTTGAATTAATACAAATTTAGGGCTAGCGTTAAATCTCCTTGGTGACATGGATGAAAACTAATACTTGGAACAGATTCCTCCATGTTTTTGAAGGAAAGGAAAGTTGGCGTCTTTTCTTTCTGATTTTTTTGTAGACCACAGTAAAATACATGGGGGAATCCAATTTGAATTAATACGAAATTAAGGGTTAGGGTTAGGGTAACGTTTAGGTCTACTTGGTGTCATGGCCCAAAACTAACGCTTGGAACAGATCCCTCAAGGTTTTTGAAAGAAACGAAAATTGGCAACTTTTTGTTCTGAGTTGTCTGTGCCCCACAGTAAAATACATAGGAAAATCCCATTTGAATTAATATGAATTTAGGGTTAGGGTTAGATCTCCTTGGTGACATGTACGAAAACTAATGCTAGGAATAGATTCCTCAAGGTTTTTGAAAGAAAGGAAAGTTGGCAGCTTTTCATTCTGAGTTGTCTTTGGACCACAGAAAAATACTAGGAAAATCCTATTTGAGTTAATATGAATTTAGGGTTAGAGCTAGGGTTAGGTCAGATTCCTCAATGTTTTCGAAGGAAAGTTGACAACTTTTCATTCTGTGTTGTTTTTGGACTACTGTAAAATATATGGAAAAATCCAATTGTCAATTAAAATGAATCTAGGGTTACGACTAGGTCTACTTGGAGTCGTAGTGGTTTTAGAATAAAAGGAACATTGGCAACTGTGCATTTGGTGTTGTTTTGGGGACCACTTTAAAATACATAGGAAAATTCCATCGGAAAGAAACTGAAATTAAGGTTAGATCTTCTTGGAGTCATGCCCAAAAATTAATGCTAGGGATAGATCCTTCGAGGTTTTTTTAAGGAAAGCAACTTTTGACAGCTTCTCTTTCCGAGTTGTTTTTGAACCCCAGGAAAATACATGGGAAAATCCCATGGCCATGAAACTGTATCTAGGGTTAGGGTTAAGGTTAAGTCTACCTTGCCCTGTTTCTCTCCCGCCCTGTCTCACCTCGCAGCGCCAGGCAAGCGATGGCTATCAGGAGCGCCAGCAAGGCAACCATCGCCAGGCAACAGAGCACCGAACAGGTCCTGCTCGGCCATTTACTCCCCGTGGCTTCGGGCCCCTGCCAAAAAATAATAATGAATCAATTCCAAGCCCTCCGTAAACTCCGCCTGATATCTCAAACCAGCCCCCTTCACCTCTGCCCTAACTAACCGCAACAACTGCCCGGCGCGCCTCCATGGCAGTGGAATAGTCGCTTTTTAGGGGGCGGAGAGGCGGGAAAAACGCCTTCCAAAGAGCCCTTGAAATAGTTCCCCACCAGGAGGAAATCTATCGAACTTTATGCGGCGGCGGCAGCGGCAGAAGTGAAGCCCCGCTTGGTTTTTCCGAACGCCGCCGCCCTCTCCCGCCTAGCCACGCCCACCGTCTGAACTCGGAACTCCCATGCTGCCCCTGTTCCATTTAGGGAAACTCAGCGTGCGCGCGTGGGGCGGGCTCTAGCCTTCCATTCGTCGCCACGTTCCTTTATTTTATTTTATTTTCCCCGCCTTGTTTTACGCCTCAAAAATGGTACCTCTTGGCTTCCGTAGCTCCGCCCATCAACCTCCGTCGCTCGGAGCGAGCTGCTTTCCCAGCGTCCTCTGCGCTGCGCGCGTCTCTCTTTCCCCCCTCCTCGCCTCCATTCCGGCTCCTATTTTCCCCCCACCCACCCTGCACACACACACACTCCGATCTTGGGCGCTCGGCCGCCTTCGGCGAGAGGAGCAGCAGAAGCCCCTCCCCTACCGGCGCGAGGTTTTGTTCTTCCCTCCTCCGGCCGCGTGCGCGGTGATCCCACCTCGCAGACTTCCGACCAGTAACCCCCTCCTTCCCCTCCCGCGTCCCCCGTCTTGTCTTCCTTTCCTTCTTCTCTGTTCGGTTTCCGGCTAACGGTCTCCCCCTCGGATCCCGTCGGAACTAAGCAGAGCCGGCTCGGCGGAGCCAGGCCTGCGACGGGGGGGAGGGGGGGAAAGCGATGTCAGGTGGAGAATCGGCGGCCGCCGCGGCCTCTCCTCAGCCGTTGCCCTTCTCGCTGCCCAAGCCTCCCCCTTTGATGCAACTCAACCCCGGCGAAGGCGTGCGCCCTGTGGGAGCTCCCGGACCGGAACAGTCGCCGAAAAGCGCCCGCATGGGAGGCCGGCCGGATTGGCCTACCGGGAAGCCCGTCAGTCTTCTGGCACCTCTCCTTCCGCCGCGCGGGGAACCCGAACCGCTCCTTCCCTTCGGGCCGGCTTCTCGCCAGCCTCTCCGCGGGAGGCTCCTCGGCAGGGGCGGCGGCGGCGGCGGCGGTAACAGTGCGGGCGGCGGGAGCCTCCTCAACCCTGGGATGAGGCTGGGCGCCGGCGGGGGAGGAACCGGCGGTGGCGGCATGGGCCGAGATGCTGTTATGGTAGGTGGCCAAGCGATTTCGGGCTGCTGCACTGGTCATAAGTGTGAAAAATGGTCATAAGTCATTTTTGCAGTTTTATAACTTTGAACGGCCACTAAATAAACTTGTAAGTCAAAGAGTACCGTGTTTCCCTAAAAATAAGATTTTTCCTGAAAACAAGCCCCAACTTGATTTTATGCTATTTTTGGAGGGTGAGGGAAAGGTGGGGTGGGGTGGGAGGCGAAAGTTAAACTGCTCCGGTTTTGGCTCCCCTCCCAAATTTCATAACTGTGAATTAAAAAACAACAACAAATCCTTCTTGGCCTCATCTGAGATGAGGAGTGAGTGTAAGAGAAGGGAATCTGGTTATCCTGACTAGTGGCAAGTGACTGAGTTAGTCTTGACTAACGTCTGCCGGGCCTGCAATTTTCCCTCAGAGTTTACAGGTGCACGCAATGGTAGGCTGGAGGTAGGCTGGGCACAGGTTTTTAAGACAGTTTAGCATCCAGATGGTATGAGAGACTTAGCTAATGCTGAATGCTGGATGAACGTTGAACTTGTTTCTTGATATCTATGGAGATTCTGAAGTTATCCAGGTCATGGTTGTCCCAAAGGTGTTTTTTCTCCCCTCAAAGCTTTCTGGTTTCCCCTTGAAGATGTTTCGCTTCTCATCCAAGAAGCTTCTTCAGAGGTGAAGAAGCTTCTTGGGTGACAAGGGAAATGTGAAAAAACATCTTGATAATCAGAATAGAATAGAATTCTTTATTGCCCAAGTGTGATTGGACACACAAGAAATTTGTCTTTGGTGCATATGCTCTCAGTGTACATAAAAAGACAAGATACATTCATCAAGAATCCTAAGGGACAACACTTCTGTCAAATTGGCTTGCTTTTCCCTGCACTTAGAAAGGAACACCGGAAAGGCCTGTTAAGTGCATATTTTTCCACCATTTCAGAGAATGATGAGATTTAATCTTTGCAATGGTGCCTATGGGAGCGAATCAATAGGAATTTGAAAATAGAAAAAAATAGGAATATTATATTATCATTTGAAAAATCTCCAGATCAGCATTGTTGATTATGTGCCATCACATTCTTTTCGATTTCTAACAACCACATTGATGCCCTAATCCTCTATTCCTAACCTGGTCTTTCAGGGCTTCTTATCCCAATGTTACTGAGTCCATCTGCCTTGTTGGTGGTCATCCTTTTTTTCTCTTTCCTTCTAACTTTCCTACCATTAGAACCTTTTCCAGAGAGATAGGTTTTCAGATTTGCTAGATTTATAGTAATTTAATTATAAATAGGATTTGACAAATTGAAACTATTTGGCATGATTATTTGGAACACTGAACCGGAATTCTGGAGGACTACAGTTTAGGGTGAATTTATTAATAAATATTTGTTTATTTTATTCATTTATTGATTTGAGCAATATATGTGAAGCATTTGAACAGTTGTAATTTTATGTTTCACAAGTTGCCAAGTCTTATTACTATTTTCAAACAAAGTAGGTCAATGACAATATTATTTACAGGAATATTTAATAAACTTGTATCATTAATAGTGCTTAGTTCCTAAGAAAGATTATGCCACTTATACTTTAATCTGCCTAATATACATGTTATTTCTTCTTTGAAAACTTGCTGTCCAAGTCTTTTCTGTTTGAAGATTTGCTGCCCAAAATATTTCTTTACAGAATTAAGAATATAATGAAGGTAAACTCTTCAGAGCAGATTATGAATATACATATGTTAATTTGTTTTACTCATTTTACAATCTAAAGAGAGTTGAAAAAATCAAATCATTATTCCCCTCCCAAAATGTCATTAAAATTTTAAAGTAGCAAAATAACATCTTAACAAAAAGTATTCCCATTTGATTGCAGAACAAAGATGAGCAACTAGAAATACATAGTTTCCTATATCTGGCACTTGAAAAAGCCCACTTGCAGATTACCGTAATAATGATTGGAGAAAATAATACAAATAAAAAGGTTGTTTTAGGTGATCTTTAGTCGGGATTATGCACAAGGAGATAGCCAAATGCTATTTCATTTAAGGTCTAAAAGTCATAAGTCACTAACAAGCTAATGGCTAGGGTACATGATATAATTTATTTTTATTAAAACTCATGTCTGCCTCAGTATTTGCACTGAATAGTCTATGTTAGCTGATAGAAATTCATATAGCTATGTTTTTAATTCTATACAGCTAAAACATGAGAAACATACAAGCAGTTTTCATTAATTTTATTTCCATGCTTTAACTTTTACTTATTTAATACATTTAAACCAATAAATTAAAATTAATTAATGGTCTAATTGCTTTAGGCCTGTCAGTGGAAATCTGGATGTTTTATTTAAATTGTTTATAGCTACCCTATTTAGTGGACTCTGTTTGAGGCAGTGAATTGCTATATCTATATTTCAACTACCATTTTATCAGAAAACAGGATCAGATTTTACAGTTTATATTTTCAGAAGAATGTTTTCTGACATTCGCATCTAGCAGAAAATATATTTCAGACTGGATCATTTGAAATCTGATGTACAATGTTTCAATCACAGAATGCTTTGTTCAAACACAAAACAATAGTATTTGAGTGCAAAATGAGCTGTTGTAACATTTTGAAGCGTTTCATACTCAAAATTGATTGAAATGTTTTGTACATCCCTAATACTATACTTTTTTTCTTGGAGACTTGTCCTACGTCAAATACAAATAGTAATTACAATAATAAAATAGCAAGTTTTTAAATTATCATGAGTTGTAATATTCATAAAAGGAAAAAATAAAACATATATTGACAACTCTGGCGATGTTGTAACAATTTAAAATATCTTGCTCTTTGAGAGTCCTAATTAACCAGATTTGGAAGATAGCTTGTTTCTGTTTTGCTTGTTTTCCTAAAATCCTAAACTGTGTTTTTCAGATGGGACATCCAGGCATGCCTCACTACCCTCCCATGGGAATGCATCCTATGGGCCAGAGGCCCCCCAACATGCCTCCAGTATCTCATGGGATGATGCCTCAAATGATGCCTCCAATGGGAGGACCACAAATGGGACAGGTAAATAGGCTTCTGTGATTTTGTTTTATTTTGTTTTATTTATTTTTATATACACACACACACACACACACACACACACACACACATACATGCATACATAGTACTGTAATCTATCTTTTAAAAACTTTCCATAAGTCATTAGGAATTGCCACTGATTCATATCAGTACAGTCCTTTTAATCTCTTTTTCTCATTATTCCTGACTTAAATGATTTCAGAAGATTTTTTTTTCTTAAACAGGTCAGTTACTTTTCTGCATAACATTTGGGATAGGAAAGTATGTTGGCCTTATGTTCCTTACTATTTGGTTGAATCCTTACTTCTCCTCAATATATTTCTCCTGTATGCCAATAAGTAGTTTAGCCTTTTTGGACCTGGGCTTTTATTTTCCTTTTTTGTAGTGGCCTTAGCTCTGTGTGTTTGTGATATAGCAGATTTTTTTAAAAAAGAAAAACTCTTTGCTTACTACTCTAGATAGTAATCCCAGTACTCTACTGTCCATACTTACACTAATTCATACCTTGAATTTTAAACTCACTCTTAGTATTAGTCCTGCACTAATGTAAAAAGCTTTCATCTTTTCTGATGAATAAAGGGCATTCTGTCCTCGTGTGGCATTAAAGATCATGTAAGTCCTTTGGGTTCTGGACAGTATCATTATTTGTTAGTGCAGATGCATGTAGTTTAAACAAGGTTGAATGATAAATAGGAAACATGACAAGTAATTTGAGCAGTTCAGCTACTTATCTTATTACCCATTAATTGCAAAGCCCCTAATTATCAGCCTATTTAACATAGCTGATCAAATTCCCTAGGCCTTGCTTTGAATTAAATTGTTGTTCTGCTCACATTACTGTTGCCTGGCATATATTACTGCTTAGCTATCATGAGGAATTCATAGAACGCAAATGGGCAATCTTCTTGAACATATTAC